GTAGTATAGGATTCCACTCATCGGTGTAACTGCATTGCATGCGAATTGCTGTGAAGTAATAACAGCTAAATTTGTTGGTAAGATCATAATTATTGTAAAACAAATAATAAAGGCAAATTGCGATCACGCCATGAACGTTTTTCATTTATACGTTAGAATAGATGTTGACATTTTAAATGATATAATTAGCCTTAGTAGATGCCACAAACAAATAAGCAAAAAGCCAACGACACGCGGTGTTCCCAGGCGGTCACCCATCCAAGTACTGACCGCGCCCGATGTTGCTTAACTTCGGTGATCGGACGAGAACCGGTGTATTCAACGTGGTATGGACGTTGGCAAACATATACACCAAATGATCACTCGGATGGTTAGTTATAACTTAGCCACAAGCAAATAAGCAAAAAGCCAACGTCACGCGGTGTTTCCAGGCGGTCACCCATCCAAGTACTGACCGCACCCGATGTTGCTTATCTTTAGTGATTGGACGAGAAACAAATAAAATTAAAGCGTTAAATTAGGTGATGCCACGGTAGGAAGTGGGTACATTTTGAAGGAAGCGCTAAAAGATTTTTTTTATTTTGATTTGATTTTTATTTATTTATTTTGATTTGATTTGATCACAAAAAATATATCACTACGTTTATATCACCACAGTTTTTTCGATTATGTTTATTAAATTATTTTGGACTACGTAAATAGTTTTAATAACTACCTACTCAAGTCACTCAAAATATTAAATATTTCAACTAAGCACACACCACACTCCATTCCGTTTATTTCACTTTTCTTCAGTTTCGTCTACTTCCGATTAATTCATATCATACTTTGCTCTTGCTATGTTAGTGCCATTCTGGTGGGCTTTTGAACTGTTATTTACCGTTTACAGGTGGACACTTTTTAAACTTGTCTCCGTGTAACATAATATAAAATAGTTCTTTTGGCCTCTACCCTTTATACATAACATCGTCTCAGCCCAAACACGTCCAACTGCTGGATATAGGCCTCCCCCAAAGATTTCCATTACAACCGGTCTTGGTGCCATCTGCATCCAGTGGGCTCAATCTTGTGGGAGGCCTGCCCACTTATCGTTTTTGTGGTAGCCCAATCTCTTCCGATCTGAGAAGAGAGATCCTTAGTATCCTATGCCCGTTACCTAGGTTGCTACCATGACCAGGAATAGTGAGGCTGCCGGGTACTAGGGGCCGGTTTTGTGCGTTGGCCATTTTGGGAGGGATTTGCCATAATCGCCACGCTTGTCAAGCGGGTTGGCGATCGCAGTGACTTGCGCGTGCGCTAGGAAAATGCTGCTGCTCATCCTTAGGTATTTATACCTTAGTCACGTTTTACGACGCCCTCGGCTAGAAAAGAGGCTGGTGTAGTATTATGCCAGACACCTCACGACCATACATAACATACAATAATAAATGCCATCGGTATTTTAGCTAATATTTATTGCTATATCAAGTGTTTTATTAAACATTTAAAAATCCCCAATAAAATAACCTTTTCTTGGAGGCAGTTTCTATGAGCCTAAACACGATATATCTGCAGTATTTTAGTAAAAGAGTTAAGTATCTTATAGATTCCAGGTGACGCTGCAGCATCAGACCTATATATTATCATTGTCGTTAAAGTAATGAGGTATAAGGTACCAAGTATCGAATAGATTAGACTGGAAATTGTTCTTTATATTTTACCGTCTAGAAAGGAGCTGATATGAGCTGAGCTGAAAAAGCTGATGGCCTGCAAACAGCTAAAGTCTGAACAGATTTTCTTGATTTATAGCTAATCGAATACTTTTTATCAAGTCATCATTGTATCAAAAATGTTATAAATTGATTAAAAGTTGTAGCAGCAGATTTTATATTTGGTTGCATAACAATTTAGAAAAAATAATAAAATAATTTTATAAACACCTTGTAAAATATAATCTTTGTCTTTTCCAAATATTGTCTCAGGAAAAAATCTAAACAATTATGACATTTATCCTTGACTGTCAATGTCAATAAAAAGAAAACATGAAATAACAATAATCCTCAATTTCAGATTTTTTACTTCGTGATAATTAAATTCATCGAAATTTAAGATTTGTGTTATATGTTTAAAAAATAAATAAATGTAGTATTATTTAATTGACTTTTCCATTGCTAATGTTGCAGTTTATAGAAACCTTACTAAAAGTGCTAAAATGTTTTGAAGTTTCCATTGATAGATGATAAAAATTAATATTTAGTAACGAGCTGCAGTTATCTAATTAGTGTTTCAGTGAACGTAAAAAATAATTAACGAAAATGTCGGCCTTATTAACTGCAGACTGGTTCCAACTTGAATCGTACTATAGGTATTTATTATTTTTTGAAATCTAGGGTCAAGATCACAGATTTTTAAGGATTTATTAAACATACTTTTTTTTATATCTTAGTCTAGTTTTACATGATAATAATTAGTAGTTTGATGTCTTTGTTGCCTTACAAAACAGAAAACAGAACCAAAAACCAAACAAAGGTCTCTTAGACCTTTGTTTGGTTTTTTAAAATTTATAAATTTTAAAAAACTAAACAATGGCTTATGTATATGAAATTGGGATAATATTTTTGTATCCATTCCGTATATTCCAATTTTGTATTATATATAAATTGTGTTAATTTTTTTAGGAAATTTGACCTTTATAATATGGTCTGGTCTATGGATGAAGGTTTAGGCAACATGATTGTAAGTGGAGCACCCTATGGTGGGCCAGTAGCAGTAGTAAGGGACCGAAAACAGTTTGTTAGAATTATGACTACTTCTAAACCAGTTATTACGATTTACAATTGTGTGGGAAATGTAATTTCGAAAATATTGGTGAGTCTTATAGTATCAAATTGTTGTTAATGCTGAATCAGCAATTGTTTTCCAACATAATGTGTATCTTATTTATAATCTATACATAATATAATGAAATTTTAACTGAGTCTCGAATCTGTACATGATTTTTTTTTGGAAAATTGAAATAGTCATTATTATCGATGCAGAGGCCGAATCTATAGTTTTAGAATTTTTTTCTGTCTGTCTGAGAATGCATCACGAGAAAAACACTGGACAGATTTTGATGAAATTTGATATGATTTCTGGGTCTGGTTATCCGGGTCAACATATAGGATACTTTTTACTGTGGAAAATTATCAGATCTCTGAGAAATCTATACTAATTGCTAGTTTATTAATAAAATATAACTTATTTTAGTGGAATAGTGGTGTGCTTATTCACATGGGCTGGTCTGATGGAGAACAGCTATTGTGCATTCAAGAAAGTGGGGATGTTCTTATATATGATATGTTTGGAGCTTATCAGAAGACTTTTAGCTTGGGCCAAGAAGTCAGAGATACTAAGGTAGTACAGGCTTTTATTATAATGAATTATTGATAATTGGTTTTTCTAAGGACTGAGGTAGTTTCTTTCTAATTTGGACACTCAATAATGTCTAATTTTACGCTGAATTACACATTGACTTAAAGTAAATCTACTTTAAATAATTTTATTATCTGTATTGCTGTATTGAGTATAACTAGTGACTTTTAATCCTCAACGACTGCAGACACGCCGGCGTTACAGTTAACAATAGATTTCTTAGAAATTTACCTGGAGGTACTTTGACACAAGTTTAGTATATGGGACGCGGTCCCTGGCGGAGTGGGTGGTATTTTTGGATAGGGTAGGTGACAGGGAGCCCAAGTATATAAAAAATATTTTGAGGAAACATAGGAGTAAAAAGTTATTGAGACTTAAAGTTACAACATTTCCATACATTATTAAAAATTCATAAAAAAACTATGCATTTCCTATTTTTATTTCAAACCCAGAACCCTTGCTATTATAAGCGTTTTACGTTCATTTAAAATTCGGTGATAGATCTGACTCATCATTTGGAGATCATTTTGACAATTGAAAGTGACATTTTGATATTTCCAAGAGTCTAAATGGCAGTAATGTCTAAATAATAAACATGGGTTCTGGGTTTGAAATAAAAATAGGAAATGCATAGTTTTTTTATGAATTTTTAAAAATCTTAGTTTCATTCAATAACTTTTGACTTTTTTGTTTCCTTAAAATATTTTTTATATATTTGGACTCTCTATCACCTCCCCTGTCAAAAAATACCACCCACTCCTCCAGGGGGCCGCGTCCCATATACTAAACTGCAGCCGGTACTTTGACTAAAACAATAATTTATGATTTGCCTTTCTAGGTGTGTAAAGCACAATTATTTTCAAATCCACATGGGATAGGATTGGCTGTAATGACTTCCAGTAATCGCATGTTTTTATTGAGTAATGTTTCCGATCCCAAAATAAGAACAGTACCAGATGTCCCAAGTAAGTTAGACCAAGTATAATGTTTAAAGTATATAAACATAACAGTGATATGTATCTAAAGAAATGTATCTGAAATATAAGAAAAGTAAATTTTCACCTTTTCTGGTTATAATTAGAAAAACCAATATCAGGATTTTTAGATCAACTATCGGGTTAGAACTTTTATCTCAAACAATATTGATGTAAAGTATTATTTATACTTTTTTAAATGTATGTATATGTCTATCGGAATTTTACAGTACATAAAATAAATGCAAATCAGTATATCACACTTTAATGGATATCATTTATTGAATCTGTGTACCCAATGACTTCCATCCTGACCCTCTATACCTATTTTCTGTTATGTTTTGTAATTCTCATTTTCTTTTATCATTTCTGTGAAAACTTGGTATTTTTTTACTCTCTGGTGGCCATTTATCAATACTTATAAAGTGACCAGTTCATTCTGTTCAGAAAGTAACACATTATACATGCTTCATTTAATAGAACATCACACATAACAGTTACTTTTTATCATAATGCGGGACATTTGTTTGTTTTTTGTAACAAAAGTTGATCTAATATGAGCATCAATTTATACCATAAATGGGATAAGTACCTAAATACTTTTCTCAATATTTATAATTTAAACCTTTTCAGGAGCAAATGAACCAATAAGCTGCTGGTGTGTTATAAGCTCTGGTTTGAGATCCTCTGCGGTGATTGGATTTCTAGTATGCAGAGATAAAGAAGTCTATAGATGTCAACTTGGTGAATCAAGACCTTTACTTCTGGTTTGTTTTTCTTTTTGTATTCAGCCCTTTTTAACAACCCACTGCTGGGCACGGGCCTCCCTTCAATACGAGGGGGATCCATCAGGCCATATACCACCATGCTGGCCAAGTACGAGTTGGTGGATTGGTATTCTGTTTATTATATTTACATAACATCATACAACTCAATTTTTTTATAAATCTTTATATTAATTTAAGAACATTGTAAAAATTAAATGTTTTTTCTACTAAATTTGATTACATAATTTTGAAATATACATATTTTGCAGCGTCCAGAATTTAATAATCCATACACTCAGGTGATTACAATGGTGCCGTCACAAAATGGTCGACATGTCGCTTTGTTCACTGATTCAGGAATTTTATGGATTGGCTCGTCTGATCTTAAGAATAAATATTGTGAAATTGATACTGGGTACATTAAACAACCTAAAGAATTAGTTTGGTAAGTTATATGTTATAAATTAATTTTGACACTGCCTTACTTCACTTTGGTCCCTAGATACTAGATACATATTTCGAGATTTGAGCACAAAACTAAACCAAATGACATTGTAGAGGGAAAAATTTGTCTTTATTAAACACTTGTGGTGTTGAAACGCTTTTTTTTGTAGCCTAGCTCAAATAACCTAAGTTAAATTTCATAACAAAAATATAAGCTTTCTAGAGAAAATCCAATTGTAATAGCAAAAATAGCATCTAAATTCGTTTAGCACTTTGTAATACAATAGAGATGCATATCTTTTACAAAAAGAGAGATCCTTTTTTGTACGAGATCTCTTTTCCCCACAAATTTATATTATTTATTCAAGTAATTATAAGTAAATTATTGCAATTTGTAAAGTTAATATATACAATATATTTTTCAGGTGCGGATCTCAAGCAATAATAGGGCATTGGGATGATACTATGTGTATTTATGGCTTTAATGGAACTGTCATAACCTATCCATATGATGGTCCGTTTCATATAATTCCAGAAATAGACTGTGTGAGAATTATATCGGAAATGACGCATGAACTATTACAAAAAGTTCCCGTGGAAGTTGAGAAAATATTTAGAATTAATAGTACTGCCCCTGGATCATATTTGGTTGAAGCTTCTAAGCAATTTCAGGTATATCATAATATTTTCTTCTATAAATATTATTTTTATATAATGCATTTATATCGTTTATTTTATTAATTAAATGCGAGATAAAATAATTTTGATAAGCAAAAGTAGTAAGTGGGAGTAGCCTCCGCTCCGCATGATGTTTTTTTGAAAATGGTCTTACACTACTGTCCTTTATATTTAGTCATGATTTAAGACAATTTCTTTAATACTTTTATCGTGTCGTGTCGTTGTACTAGTATAGGAAGGTGATAAACAGTGTTCCTAGTACATTTGAGAAAGGAAGGGTATCAATATGGTCTCATTTACGCCCCCAAATAACGAAAAAAAATTATGTCATTCGATTTGATAATTTCTTGACATATTCTAAAAGTAGACTTGGTGCCTGATAAAAAAATATATTTATAAGAGAAAAAAAGCTGCAGTTAATACTACTTACCTTTCTTCATTTATATTTTTAAAAACACATTGAATATAAAAATATAGCTTAACGCTCCAAGCGAGCGATCATTTGGTATCTACAATCGCCAACGTCCATACCACGTTGAATACACCGGTTCTCGTCCGATCACCGAAGTTAAGCAACATCGGGCGCGGTCAGTACTTGGATGGGTGACCGCCTGGGAACACCGCGTGACGTTGGCTTTTTGATCTTTTTTTATTTTCAAATTTAACTTTAGTCAATTTACTATTTTTTTGGATTTCTTAGCTAAAGAAAAGAACGAACACTTATGTCATATTATATCTAACATCATAGCCATTTTACTAGAAATCTATTAGTTCTGCATTGCTCAAAGTAAGATACATGTCTCACGGGCATCGCTAGATAATTGATTAATTACAAAGAAATGGGATGACAATCCATATATATAACTGAAGTATAAAACTTTTCTACTAAAGACAACAGTTTCAAAGATATAAAGCTAAAACTGTAACTGTAGCTTGAATCCTGAGTGAGACACACTTCTCCAATCTAAAAAACAAATATATTTTCTCTCTAAATTTTATACTTATTTTATTATTAAATTAAAAAAGTACTAAATTTATTTCAGAAACGTAGTCACAGAGCAGATGAATATATTCGCTTGGTCAAACCGGATTTAGCCGCGGCAGTACAGAACTGCATAGACGCGGCCGCCTTCGAGTTCAATACCGATGTCCAGAAGATGTTGATACGCGCAGCTCAGTTCGGGAAAGGATTTATTATGGACCCGATATTGACCGATCATTATGTGAAGACCTGCAGGTGGCTGCGAGTGCTGAATGCTGTACGCGACCCTAGAGTGGCCATTCCTTTGACGTTCTTACAGTATCCTTTTGATATTGATTACACGTTATCCATGTATATATATTTAATAGTTAATATATGCGATGACGTCACGTTTGGGTCAGTTTGCCAGCGGTCGCGGGCTCGAGTGTCGCTTGGGGGGAAGGGGGTTGGTGGGCTTTAGGCAGGCAGGCATACATTTGTGTGATAAGCACGAATGTTTGTACTTCAGTAATGGGTGTTTATATTTATAATATATGTGTATTTAAAGTTATATATGTGTAGTGTATCAACTATCTGGTATCTATAACACAGACCATGGAACTAAATGATGCTGTGTGTTAATGTCCCAACATATTTATATATTTGTTTTGAATTTGGATTTAAATGCTGACTGTATTCTTGTAGACCTATATTATAAACTAGCGGTTTATCCTCACTTTGCTCGGGTTCCTAAGAACGTTTTAATTTTTTTGAGCGTTACCCTAATTTTTTTTTCTAAAATATAAGTTACTCCTTATAAGAACAGCTATTTACCAGTGAAAGTCCCGTCAACATCAGTCCAGGTTCGGAGATTAGCTGGAACAAAAAGATTGACAAAATTAAAAAAAAATATGTGTTTTCTTATAAGTACCGTATAGTAATATAATTTCATATTATGCATTTAGTAAACACTTAAATTTTATTTATATGTTATACCTAGATGGGTAAAGATTGTATCTTTTTTTTTGTTTTTTTTATAGTTTTTTATTCCCATAAAAACGAATTTACTGTCAGAATTCACATTAACGTTAATTGAACTGTGAAAACAACTGGCCGTTGAGTTTATTTACCGGTGAGCGCTTCATAAACATTTTGAAATAAATAATAGTATTTTAAGCAAGGTTTCTTTAATTATGGATGGAGTTGCATGAAACAATTTATCAATAGTATTGCTTAATGCCATTCAAGAGTTCAAAATCTAGGTGAGAGGATATTGTTAGACAGACTGATATGGCGTCGCCTTCACTGCCTCGCGGGCCACATCGCGTCCTATTTACAACTCAAAGATGGTCAAACACGAGTTCTATCACACTGGGCATGTTACAAGGTGATATACAAATCCTTACTCCCAATAAAAAAAAAACTATTGGAATTCTGTAAACAGGGCCGTGCGGTGCTTTGATACAAAGAGGTCTCAATAGGCATAGAATAGGGGCTATTTGGTGCTACAAATACCCCAGACACTTTTGACACAATTTTTTCAGAAGGAAAACCCCTTTTTATCATAATTTGACAGAATGATTTAGCAATTGATATGATATTTCTACATACCTTTCAGCAATTTAACTTCAATAGTCTCTGAGTAATATTATTGTGACATATGGACGGACGGACAGACAAATTACAAGGATTTCGTTGTTGCCTTTTAGCTACGGAACCCTAATGAAAATTACCTAGGGGTGGCATTTACAAAACTTCTATCATACTGAGAAAATTTACCGCATGGCCTTGTCTGTAGAACGCAGCAGAGAAAATGCTATGTATCAATATTTCCCTTTTAATTTGAGACTTTCTGTGCACTTAATATCTGAATGGAAATACAATAATTTTATTCTCAAAGGGAAATGGTGATAAAAGCAGGAAGTGAATTTGTGGAAATCTTCAATTAGCTACTTGTAAAGCGTTTGAACGTGAGCTTATTTTATTCGTTTCTTTTTAAAGTAAATAGATCACAACAAATAATTAAACTTTATTTAATTATACTTATACAAGCACTTTCTACTTACTAAGGATAGTCAGTGTAGTTTGTCCGTGAGGAAAAAACCGGCGAGAAACTCAACAGTTATTCTTTTTTAAAAACGAGTTTTTAAAAGAACACACATTATTCCACCGAGAAGAAACTTTCGAACGGAGTAATATGATTTATTTAGCAATTTATTTTTAATGTTATTCTTAAATTGTTAAAAGGGTAAATCTAAGACTGTTTATGTAATTTTAATGTATGTGCATATTCTCAAGATTTAATTCCTATCCTTAGGCTTTCTTATACATCATTCATTATACAGAAGCATTTAATGCGTTTATAGAATAAAACCATTTTTCATTTACTAGTGCGTATAAAATTGCCGATATACAATAAAAATATAATTTTAATTAGGTACATATTTTTAATGTTTTCTACTATTTTTATTACAGGTAACACAGCCGCACCTGGACAACGAGAGTGCAGCTCGAGAAATAGGTGAAAAGCTAAGGAACATCCCCGGCATCTCTTATTCAACGATTGCTATGAAAGCCGCTGAAAAAGGCAGAAAGGCATTGGCTATTAAAGTAAGTAAGGGTTTTATATTACTTAATTAATCTAATTTGACTATTCGCTTACTTTATTATAACAGTTAAAAACCGAGTTTTTTGCAAATATCTCGAAAACTGAGGTTATTGTAAAAAGTGTTATTTATAAAAGTTGTAGATTTTTACTAGACCTACAACTTTTGTAAAAAAACATTTTTCGATAGAACGTCACAGTAAGCCGGAAATTGAAGAAAAACTATTTTTCAACGCTTTGCGTCCCCCCATTTCTCGGGGGCAGCTGGGCATGTGGGGCATTTTACGAATTTCTATTCCTTATATACCTGCTAACATTTTAAAATCATAAAACTTCAGGTTTTCAATATTTTGTTCCCAAACCGGATTCCGATTGGACTACCGGCAAAGGTTAACAAATTGAAGAAGTGTCCAACCTTAAATACTATTTTAGAAAATTAATTTTATTTTTTATCAATATAAGAATAACGTTTGCGTTTCTAATACTTAACACTAACTAACTTAACAGCGCTAACTTGGGAATATCGAATATCGCGTCAGGTTGAGTTCATAGTATCTTTTTTTACCAAGCGAGCGATCATTTGATGTATGTATACAATCGCCAACGTCCATACCACGTTGAACACACCGTCTCGTGTCACTATGTTGGTCCGCGATGAACTTCGGAACTATACGTATTTTTTTTTAAAACGAGTGATTTGTTCCAACTTAAAAGATAGGATAATTTTTATCCCAATTATTTAATTTTTTTATTGTAAAATTAATCATTTTCATATTGAATGAATTATAAGTGTGCCACAGCAACGCGTGGCCTGGCTTGCTAAAAATTAATTGCTTGTAAAAAAATTATAATTACAGATATTAGAATACGAAACTCAAAGCAAATTACAAGTTCCTCTTTTACTGGCCCTCGGCGAGGGCCCGACCGCGCTCCTGAAGGCAACGGCAAGTGGTGATACCGACCTAGTATACACTGTGTTGTTGCACTTGAAAGAGAAAATGGGGAAACATGAGTTCGAGGTATGGCAATATTGCAGTGTAATTTAAATTTATCTGTATGTTTATATTATACTATTTTAGTATAGTCTGTGTGTAATGATCTTACGGAGAAGGAAAACATCGTGAGGAAACCTGCATGTCTGAGAAAACCTAGCAAGTTTTCGAAAGACATGCGAAGTCCGCCAACCAGCATTTATCCAGCGTGGTGGACTTCGGTCTGATCGCCTCGTATTCAAGGGAGACCCGCGCCTAGGAGTGGGAGGCTAAAAAGGGCTAATTACACATATTGGTCGTTTGGTCGAATATTATAAAAGTGAAAGTGTGTTTGTTTGTTTGTTTGTTTGTTTGTTTGTTTGTTTGTTTATTTGTCCTTCTTTGACGTGGAAACGGAACGACGACTTGGCGTGATTTTTTGTGTGGAGATAGTTGGAGGGTTGGAGAGTGATATGGGCTACTTTTTACCGCGGGAGATTATCTCATTTCTACGGGAAAACACGTTATAATGCAACCCAAAAAATATTTATGATTAGAATTGAAACTTGCTATTAATGCTCTTCTGTACAATTAAATACATACGTTTTTTAGCATTTTTCGAAATTCATCTAGGGGGTAAAATGAGACATGAAAGTTTGTATGAAACCTACTTTTTAGAGTTTTCTTGGAGTTTAGCGCGAGCGAAGCCGCGGGTTCTGCTAGTATTCAATAAATGTAACATTATAAACAAACTCCGCAGCTGTGTATACGCAGCTTCCCGCTGGCGCACTCTCTGTACATAAAGTACTGCGCGACGCACAACCGCGAGGCGCTGCGCAAGGTGTACGTGCAGGAGGACGAGTTCGGCGGGCAGGCGGCCACGCACGTGCGCGACGCCATGGACCACGCCAACCCCGGCAGCGTCGAGGCCTCCCTCATATCTGCCAGGGAGTGCTACAAGAAGGGCAAGAACGATTTGGGTGAGTCGCTTTTTGTTAGTGATTGATTTATGCAGTTGTGCGTACAGTCCGTTTTTACAATAAGGGCACACGGGGCACGTGCCCGGGGCCCCCAACCTCCGAGAGCCCCGAAAATACAACATTCTCGTTTACTTGAAAAAAATACTTAATTTTTATGATTATATTTCACTACACTGCATTGTATACAATACACTGCATATTACATAATATTATGTTCCGTAGTGAACTGGTTCCCATTGTTGTTCACTTTTCAAAACCATCGTTTTTTTTTGTATTTTAGTTTAAATTTTTTTTCACATTTTTTACATTTTAAAAAGGCCCTAAGTTGTTGTGTTCCCTGGGAGTCCCGCATGCCTTAAGGCGGCCCAGTGTGCGTGTAGTGTGACTTTCTTACTTTTGGTGATTTTATATTTGGAGGGTTTTGAGAAATATAACATTTTGTTTATTGTGTGTTTAAACATACGTCTTAATGTGTATACATGTAACGGTGTGCCTTGTGCGAGTGTTTCGTCGTTAACTATAATTTATATAATATTAGTATTTAGTTTAATATATATAATTGAAACCACGCCGGGCGCGGTTAATACTTGGATGGAAGACCGTTTGAGAACATCGCGTGAAGTTGGCTTTTACTTTGTTTTTTGTCGTCACTGACGCTAACAGTTATAACTAACCAAGTGAGCGATCATTTTGTATGTACAGTCGCTAACGTCCATACCACGTTGAATACACCGGTTCTCGTCCGATCACCGAAGTTAAGCATCATCGGGCGCGGTCAGTACTTGGATGGGTGACCGCCTGGGAACATCGCGTGACGTTGCCTTTTTGTTTATTTGTTAGCAATTTAATTTAATTTTTTAAGTGATATAAGTTGTAATCGTATCCTATTTTTTAAATATATTTAGGTTACATGTAAGACGTACGACTGCACTCTGATACACAACTGTACTCTGACAACAACAACAACTACGATCTGAAAACAAAAAATATTGTGTGCTAACTCCTTTCCCCTGAGATTATTATTAAATTCTGATAAACAGACAAAAAGTAATAGATATAAAAAAGTTTTTTATTTTTCGTCTCCGCATAGGTTTTACACAATATCACTTTTACAGGTGTATCAATTTGTGAAGAAGCTCGCAAGCTTTGCAAGCAACAGTCGAGCCTTCAAGAAACATACGGCGAAAGCTTCGTCGGTCTCTCCCTACATGATACCGTGAAGAAACTTCTAGAACTAGGAGAAGTGAAACTGGCCGATAAACTACGATCTGAATACAAAATTCCGGACAGAAGGTAAATATTGCTCGATGATCTCTTGGTTATATAAAATAATTAATTAATAAATAAAACATTTGCTTTATTTCTTAAGATTACATCACTACATGTTATAAAACAAAGACCTCCCGCCGCGTCTATCTGTACAAACGCTATAAACTCACAAACAACCGAAACGATTTTCATATAGTTTTCACCATTGGACGGAGTAATCCATGAGGAAGGTTTAGGTGTTTCATTAAGGTTTTGTGTAAATTGGCTGGTATAATAATGATTGTTGAAAATGACGGAGAAATCATGCCGACTGGGAGCTTTACTGGCGTGCGCTGCGCAAACCAATAGACTTATATGAAAACAATGTATTATAGATTTATCAGTAACGGGGGAGGCAAGTCACTAGTTACATTATAATTAAAGTACAAATATCTATATTACAAAAGTTAAATAAAACTGTTGTTAAAAAATATGTTATAATGTATACCTAATATGCTTTTATATGCATGCTTTACTTGTATTTGTTGAAAATAGATTTTCGTCTACTCCTTAATATATCTATTTAAAACTACGTATATGAAATCTGAATAGGATTACAATAATTTGATACCACCCAAGAGTGTAAGGGCCGTTCCAGACTATAGTACCGATCACAGTCCGTTCTCGATCCGATATCGATCTTTTTTTATAAAAGAAACAAGTTTATTCACACTATCAGTAAGATTCAAGTTCCGGTACAGTAACGCTCCAGCAACGTTTTTTATATAAAAATACCTTATAAATAACCACACCGACATCGGACCGAGAATGGACTATGGTCGGTACCATAGTGTGGTGCGAACCTAACTCTGTATTGACAAGTCCTATACATAAGTTAGTCTAAGGAATGTCTTTTTATTTTCTTTTTAACTATGTATAATATATATTTTTCTAGATACTGGTGGCTTAGAATACTCACGTTAGCTGAAAAGAAAGATTGGGATGAACTAGAACGGTTTTCAAAATCAAAGAAATCTCCCGTCGGTTACGAGCCCTTCGTAGACGCTTGTCTAAAGTATGGAAAACAAGATGAAGCGTTGAAGTACCTGCCCAAATGCAGAGACGATATAAAAGTCAAATATTACGTTAAAGCCGAGTAAGTATCTTTTATATTATAGAATATGGATCTTCGTATTGAACACAGATCTTTTGCTGTTCATATTTTTAATCATCGTTAAATGTATGTTTGTAACATATAATAATAAATAATTGTTAAGTACATATATGTTAAAAGAAAAAAAATGTGGAATGATTTACTTTGTATTGAATTGTGAAATAGTAGCAATTCATTAATAAAATGCATAAAATATTTTAGTATAAAAATTTCATTTATGGAATTTTTATAAAACGAACAGCCTTTAACATTAATTTTTATAGTTCCGTACCCTAAGGGTGCTTACGGGACCCTATTACTAAGACTCCGCTGTCCGTCCGTCTGTCTGTCTGTCAGTGGGCTGAATCTCATGTATGTATTTCTGTTGCCGCTATGTTAACAAATAATAAACAACCAAGATGGAGAATTTCAAAATGACCGCCATGCAAATTATAAACAAAATCGATTAGGGCATAGTGTATAATATAGTACGATGGTACGGAACCCTTAGTTCGAGTTTTCGAATCCGACCGATTTTATTTATATATATTATATATATTTGTATACTTATTTCAGATTCTATGAAGAAGCAGCTCAAGTAGCATTTGAACAAAAAGACGAGAGTGCATTATTTTTTGTACAAAATAAATGTCCCACGCGAGAGTCCAACAAACATGCAAAAATTATGGCTCTATTGGAACAGTTAACCAATAAGAAATAGATATAACAAAATTGAATGCTCAGCCCGCTTGAAAGTTGTAAACGAATCACAAAAGTCAAATAACATTGCCAGAGTTGCGTAGTAGATGGGTGACCGCTCAGGGTTATAACTATTGAGGGGTTTTTATGTGAAATAGAACTTTAAGCCAAATATCTCTGATATATCTATCTATCGAGTAGTTATTAAAGTCTTGTGTAATCACTAGTACTTCATTCGTTAAAGAAAGTGAATAATTGTATTTGTATAGCTCGTATTATTTTTTGGTCCCTATTATAAGCTCCTACATTATATTAACGTTAAAACAACATAGTTAAAAGTTCTTAATAATCATTATTTATAGTTGAATTTTTTTTAATAGGTTACTTTTTTATTGTTTGTTTAAAATTAATATTTTTGTGATATTAAACATATTATGTTAAGCCATAACGTTTTTTATTTAATAAGTTCTCTACCTAATTAATAATAGGTAACGTAAAATATTACTTCGAGGTTCATAAAATATATATTCTCTTTGAAAGTAAAGTCAAGGATATAGTTTCCAATGTCAATGTAAAATAACTTAAACAGTTACATAAATGTACGAGATTGTAATCTCGTACAGCTAAGCATTCTTAGGATATAAATATTTATTGGAGTTGGTGAATGGAAACTTGATTTCTATTTTTTTTGTTGCATTTGCTGACGCAACAGTAACTAAGCGAGCGATCATTTGGTGTGTACAATCGCCAACGTCCATACCACGTTGAATGCACCGGTTCTCGTCCTATCACCGAAGTTTAGCAACATCGGGCGCGGTCAGTACTTGGATGGGTGACCGCCTGGGAACACCGCGTGACGGTGGCTTTTTGCCATTAGAACAAACGTATACCATCCTTCTTAGTCCAATAGGAATCCGGTTTGGGAACAAAATATTGAAAACCTGAAGTTTTATAATTTTAAAACGTTACCAGGTATACAAGGAATAGAAATTCGTAAAATGATCCCGATGCCCAGCTACCCCCGAGAAATAGGGGGACGCAAAGCGTTGAAAAATAGTTTTTTTCAATTTCCGGCTTACGTTCTATCGAAATATCTTTTGTACAAAAGTTGTAGGTCTAGTAAAAATCATTTTTTTTATAAATAACACATTTTACAATAACTTCAAAGTTTTCAAGATATTTGCAAAAACTCGGTTTTTAACGTTTTCTTGGTTTTTATTCTGAATTTCTAGAATAATCTTGATTTTCATGAAACTAAGGGAATATAATCTTCGAAATACACAATAAATAAACAAAAAAAATAATTAAAATTAAAATGTTTAGCCATTTCGGAGAAAAGTATGTTTTATGGTCTCGAGAGGCTGAAAGTCACCCCCAACTTCGAGTTGACGTTTACATTTAAAAAAAAATTCGTTCAATTCTCAGATAGGGCTCATTCTTTTTGTCTGAACTCTACTTTTTGAAAAAATATAAAAGCCAACGTCACGCGGTGTTCCCAGGCGGTCACCCATCCAAGTACTGACCGCGCCCGATGTTGCTTAACTTCGGTGATCGGACGAGAACCGGTGTATTCAACGTGGTATGGACGTTGGCGATTGCATATACCAAATGATCACTCGCTTGATACTTACCGTTGCGTCAGAAGATGCAACAAAAGAAAAAAAACGATACGTAAACAAAAAACTAGAGTAGACGTCGAAAATTGTTATTCTTGCTAACGTTTTCTTTTGTACGAATCTATAAGTTATACGTGGTAATCAAGTATAGTTATTGGAGTTTTATATTGAGAGATTGGCTGCCGTAGCTAAAATCAATTTAGACAATATTACTTAATAAAAGAAGAAAACTAAATAATTTAATTTTTATACATACACATTTTATATTATTTTATACTATGTAATGTATGTGTTTAGAATTATAGTCAATCTGGATTTATATTTAATTGAAATTATTAAAACCTTATGATATTTATCGCACAGCTTTAATGGTACAAATGTTGACTACGATCGCCCAAGATCATGTCTTTCGCTTTCTATAAAAAAAAAGTTTTAAAGGAAATTTGTCCAGTAATACTGCTTTCAACATAAACACGTCGAACTTCTGTCATACGATGACGATTTCTTTAAAAGCTAGTTCTTTAAACCGGTAACTACTTATAAATAAGTTTATACCTTAAACTCCTACTTGTTTATAATATACTCGTATATGTTTTATTGTTTAATATGTTTAGGTTTATTATTGAATTGAGGGTGACACTTTATATATTTTAGATATGTCTGTATATAGTTGATATTTAAGAGCTCTTACTTATAACAACTTCGATATATATGGCATTCATAATTATATCATGTTAATGAAGCAGCAAAAACATTTCTTTTATAAACATACTAGCTTGATTCCCATACAAGTTTTTCCCATTTTCACCCCCTTAAGGAATGATTACCGGGATAAAAAGTATCCTATGTCCTTCCCAGGGTCTCAAACTATCTTGTTACCAAAATTCATCTAAATCGGTGCAGTAGATCCAGAGATTACCCCCTACAACGTCACAAACTCACAAACTTTACCTCTTTATAATATTGGTATAGATAATGTCCTTTATAATGGCAAATGTTTGATAATAATTGATACGTCTTGGTGTGAACAACTCCGGGCAGCTATTTTCTCACGACTCGTCTCTTCAGACTATTAAGTAGTCAAAGGAATTCATGAATGGCTGTGATAGTGTTGTTCTTTTCTTTCAATATATGAGTGAAAGAGAGAGATAGTATAATATTCTACATACATATATATGTACGTTCTTAATAACGTAATATGATGTAAGAACTAAAATTAATAATATAACACAATTTACATACATATATTGTCAATTTTAACAATGATTGCCTAAAGATATTTTACATAAGTTTGACAGAATATGAGGAGTAACATGTAAAATAAATTATAAGTTTGTAACTTTAATGCTTGAAACTTTGGATACCATTTCGACACAGATTGATTGATGGAGAAATTATTATTCACAAGAATATCTAACTTTATCGTATACGATACGAAAATTGTGGAGTTATTGTAGGCCTGGTGTCTGGAGTGCCAGTATGGCGTATATTATATCATATATATATATATATATATATATATATATACTCGCACTCGTTGCACTTCATTATTATTAACTTCTCTATATTTTTTATAATTGTAATATAACATAATAATTTATATTTATCTCTCTATTAGCCAAAACGTAGGGCTTCGTATGAACTAATGATAGGGGCGGCGTGGTTAATATAGAAAATAAAATTTGAAATTATTTACTGTACCATTTTGGCAGATGATTTTTCAAAAACGCCGAAACACTTTTTATTTCTTAAAGTTCCTTTCAAGTTTAACTTTATCATCAATAGGTTGCTAATATCCTTCTCAAGGTCTCATCTATCTCAAAACTAAAATTCATCAAAAATGGCACTCTTGATGCGCGTGTAAACGTAAACAAACAGACAGATAGTTACTTTACATTTCTAATAAGTATATATTTATATTATAGAACAAAATGAAGTGAGAGCTTTGGGAATGCTGCTAGTTTTAAAAATTTGTATAATCTTATTAAATTACAAAATATATATTTGTAGAAAATATGTATGTATCTATGTATACATATACAGTACTAATGTATTTTAGTCAATATTTAGGTTTTTTTTACTTTTTTATTATTAACCTACAGGCTATTTTAAAATTATCCTGTTTTCAGCATATGGGGCATTACATGCCATATCGGACAGATCCAAAAAAAAAATATTTTCGATTTTCTTAATATTTTATTATCTTTAGTACCTTTCAAAAGAGGATTCCTGGTAATATTTTAGTTTTCAATCGTGTTCGAAACTCTCGAATAAAAACATTTAAAATGTTTTTTATATTTTTTTGTAAAGGTCACCCAAAAACAAAAATGTTGAAAAAAAAGTAGAATTTCGAGAAATTTATGAGCAAAAAACCAAAAAAAGAGCGGTTTTGCACCAGTGATCAAAAACAAAACGTTTACCAGGAAGCCTCTTTTGAAGGGTAGGTAATAAAAATACCTAAATATTTAGAAAATCAAAAATAAAAATTTTTGAAACTGTCCGATTTGGCGTGGAATGCCCCATATACATTAAATCTTTTTACTAAAGATTGCCTGATAGTAAATCTTCCCATAATAAACTGACTTTTTTATGACTTACAATAAAGTTCTTCATTCAATTAACCAAGTTGTGGACAATTATTCAAAATAATAAACTGATTTAAAAAAATCCTTATACACTCTTTTATCGTAAAATGTGTATACGAGTATATTTATACTTTATCCTACTAGTGAAAACAACATCATTGTTATTTACTTAAGTTATTATTGTACACAATTTTTTTTCAATATAGAAAGGAAATAGCTATTAACAGCTATCATACATGTACTTTTCCGCAATGACCATAGTAATTTATGCAATCGATAGTTGCTTTTTGTACGCGTTGAAGTCTTTTACATGTAAATAGGCTCTTGGACATGGCTTGCGCACACGCAGTTTGCACGTAAATTTATCAATATGTAAATTAGTAAATCTATTCTTATTTTCCATGCTCTTTATATTATATTCATATACAAAAATATCAGTATAAGTTAAGTTTAAAATATTTTTTCAGTTAACTTAAACAATTGTTAACATTAACACAACAACATTACAATTTTGCTGAGTAATTGTTTAGACATAAGTAGCAACGTTAGTTACTACAATAATGAGTAATTATATACAATACTAGCGACTCACCCTCGCTTCGTTCGTGTTCGTCCCTAGGTTGCTTCCCCATACAAACTTTCATCCCTATTTTCACCCTCTTAAGGGATGATTTCTGGGATAAACACTATCCTATGTCCTTCCCAAGGTCTCAAACTATCTTCTTACCAAATTTAATCTAAATCGGTTCAGTAGTTTCGGAGCCTATTCGGCACAAACAAACAAATCTTTTCGCTTCATAATATTAGTATAGATTATA